GGATCTGGGCGGTGCTCGGGGATGACGGGCTGGAGAGGATGACGATTCAGAAAGAGACAGATACGTACAGTCGAATCGAATCCCCTTCGAGTGACCTGTCGAGTGAACGGAAGAACTCATTCGAACCGGGTTTTGCTTCAGCATGCAGGGTACTTCATTTTGGGGATCTCGGACTCGGAAGTCTGGAAGATGTCCCTCATGCCCGATTTCTTTCTCACATTCCCCAATTAGCGGCTCTGATTCTATCATGATACAATCACAGATGGAACCGTCGGACTCAACATCGACTGACCAATGTCCGACTCGGATGTCAGCGGAAGCGAGACCGCGTGAATTCTGGCTCAAAGCATGTCGACTGGAAATCAGTGCGCATCAGGGAGCACGAGAGAAAGTTGAAGCTTTCTCGTTTCGGCGACGACTGCCAATTCGTCAGCAGCAGCGGCGTGCAGAGAACGTGTGCGCTCCGCATTCGCGCCGATTCCACAAGGATCTTGGAGATCCGAATTTTGGGTGAATTACGAGTCACACTTCGAAGGGCGTCACCGTCTCATCACAATACTAGCATAGAGGCATTGACTTCCTGCATGGCAAATATCGTGAAGGGCCACAAAGTGTAAAGTGGTCCGGAGCAACGAACGCACTGGTCTATGGAGCCGCAGAGCTCTGTGACCACTGGTCCGCACGACGCAACACAAGATGGGAGCTTGAAGGCGATGTCATGCTTGATACCTCCCGTTTACTCCGAATGAAGCTCAATTCCTCCCTGAAAGAACGTTTGATGTTTTTTTAACTCAAAACATTCTACGCTTCGATGCCTCCCCTCGTGCCATCCGGATTACGACGTTTAGGTAATTTCCAGACTTCACCTCCGAGTGAGGAACCACGTCGCATACATGATGGAAATCGATGACTCCTCCGCGGAATGCCGAGAGTAATCCAGTATCTTTGTGAGAGTAGCAAACAGGGAGGCCTGTGGCCTACCCACACATCCGCTCTATCGGACGCTACGTTTCCGAGATGCGTTCTCATCTTAAAAATTCAGGCCCGCTTTTTCTTTTGCCCTGAATTCCGACCAGGGAACTCAGAGTGACTCGGGGGCTGATCGAGTTTTACCGCACATCTTCCGTGGATGTCGCGGGCGGTGCGGGATGGTCCATGAGCGCAAAGCAGGAAAACCGAAAAAAATCCCGCAGCTGGTTTTGGCGAGTCGGAGCATCGAATGCTTCCCCACGATTTCCCCTCACGCTCTACTCGATGAGCCGTCGACCGCCGATTGTCCGGATTCCGGATCCTTTACTGGGGCTGAAGCACTGCCATCAGTCAACTCTGCGGGCGCTCGGGAGCAAGATTTCATGAGCGCTGGTGTCTGGATGGGAGGTGGCCGCGTGAGCGATGTGCTCCTCCCATCGTACATCGTATGTGGATACTCCGTGTCACTTGGAGGGTCGGACAGGAGTCATCTTAAGATGTGTTCCCCCGCCATGAGATCCCGCTAATCAGCAATGGGAAATCGAGAGCTTTCAGGACGATAGAGGACGCGCGACACATTCATAAATTCACGAAGCATGACTAGGGTCCCTTGTACTTGAACATTGGATCTTCGACATTTTAATTCTGAGTAAGCGTGCCTCATCCAGTCATGGGATCTCCCCATTCAATTCTTCACGGACCTGCTTGAGCATTTAGCGGTAGCTCAATGCGACGTAACCTGGGCGGAAAAAATCCCGACTCTCGAGAAACGAGCTGCAGTCGCCAAGAGCTTTCCCCTCGGTGAGGTGGGAGGATCGGACCCTTGTCGGCTGGGAATCCAAATTTCAAAATCGTTCCCATCGCCAGTCTCTCATTCACTCCCATCCTCCGGCAGCTCGAACAGCGGGCTCACTCGTGTCAGCGGAGTGTCTCTGGACTCGTATCTCGGAAGAACGATTCACATCGAAGATCTTCGAATTCCGCACTTGCCTCTGAGACTCGCATGGCCGCATGACGTTGTATCAGTGCTTTCCTGCGGCGGATCTAGCGGTAGGCTTCTCCCATCGCGGGATTTCAGGTCCCTTATTATTTGATAACACATTCACCGAATACGGAAATCGTGGAACCAGTCGGAGATGACTCTGCTGATGGAGCAAATCGTCAGCAGCGAGGTCTTGCTGAAAAACCTGTGCAGGAGCCCGTAGGGGACTCTTCTGGAATCGGGCAGGCCTTCCCCCAAGAGTCAACGCTATATGTTTGCTCTCGGCGCAAGCTTAAGTGGAGTCCTCGGGCCCAACTTAGTCCTCGCGCCCTACCCCCACAAAATTTCTCGCCTTCGGGCCGGGGGCGAGGCAGAGATCAGGTAATCGTCTCGATATCAGTGGCTGGAGTGAGTATCGGAGCAAGCCAATCGGGATCGATTACTCAATCGAGCCGCTCTTATCACTGCTCAGTTTGCATAGAGCCGATTCTATTCTGACGAAACCTGCCATATTTGTTCGTGATTGACGGCGTTGCAGACGACCAGCCGATTGTGGAAGCAATCTCTTGCTAACTATATGCATACATACGTACAACAGATATACGATCATTCTTGGCGACCGGAATGCCAAGTGGCCGTCGTCCGCGAGATCGTCCAAGATTAGGAGCACGATTCAATCCTTGAGTTACGACACTTCGGTATCGGCCAGCCGATACGATTGGTCACTCTTCTTTCCTCAACTCCCTCGCAAAAAGAATTCTTGACGTCAATTTGATGGTCATCCGCGCGCTTACTACGCGTATCCACTCCGGAGCCCTAGGGTCCGATTTTCTACTCCGCTCATGTCATACCGGGAGAAATCCGTGGAACAAACGCGCGGAGCCGTTGTATCCGCTCTATGTAGAAGGAATAATCGCTAAAGTTATCTTCAAGAGGCCGGTTCCCGCAAGATTGACCGCCACCTGAATGATTTATTTCTGGATCCTGAGGTGCAACAATGATGAGTGATCTCGATTGCGAGCTGCGAGGGGAATTCGCAATGGCTCTCACCTGCTCGATGGATTCAGGCCCAACAGTCGCTCAACTTCCCTCGATGAACCCCAGGGCGAGGCTCACTCGTCGAATAAAAAAAAAAACAGGAAACACGTTTGAATAATCAGCTGCTGATGGCACGATTACATTCCACCGACTTTTGCAACGTCAGGCGCCCAGAACTTTATATCATTCGGCTTTCGCGGAGAAAATCTTCGGAGGATATCAGGCCCTTGCATAGCAACTATCAACGGAGCGCGTCAAGAATCATATCGGACTCTATCGCTCCTTGTTCGACCGTATCTCACGGAACCGATGATATCATCTCAAG